ACAAAAGCCCTTCTGCAGACACTTAGACACACATTTTGATCTCCTAGAGGAAATAACTAGTGATTTTTACAGTGGTTTAAGCTAATTGATTATCCTGGGAAATTATTTGAATTAGTAACTAATTTGAAAGGACTCGCAAGGGACCATTCTTATTCTAAAGAAAAGAAGTCTTGAAGCGTTTCCTCCGTTTTCAACCTTAAAGGACTAGGAAAACTGGAAACCCCTTCCTTAAACCACCTGGGCACCACGACCGGCCTTTAGAAGCAGGGCATCTTTCCAGAAGCTTCTCCGGACAGTCTGGCCTGAGTGACAGCTGCGCCACCTCACCCCGCCCCCACTCCCGCCGCCGCTGAGATTACTTGGGGACTGAGTGAGCCCCGCAGTAAGTGGCAGAGATGCCCAGGGGCAGCTCCCGCCGGGCGCGCTCGATTACGCGCAGCATCTTGAGCTCCGTCTCCAGGTTGAGGCCGTATCCGCTCTTGCACTCCACCAGCGTGGTGCCGGCCCTCATCATGCACTGCAGCCGCTGCCGGAAGGAGCCGAAGAGTTCCTCCTCCGAGGCCTGGCGAGTGTGCTCCACCGTGAAGTTGATCCCTCCTCCGGCCTGGTGAATGTCCATGTACGTGGCTCCTGCCAACTGAAGGCATGACTCCCTCAGGGAGGTTACAAGTCGGTCTGCAGAACCTACCTCCGGGGGTGATGTTAGAAGACGATTACGGGGTTCGACGGTAAAGAACGGGGGCTGCTGTTGCAGAGGACTGGGGTTCACTTCCAGCATCCACGTGGCAGCTCACAATCACCTGGAACTCCAGCTCCAGGGAATCACACGCGGACGCAGACACACACACACACACACACACACACTTAAAAATAAAAATAAAGTAAAACCAATTTTACAAGATGGTTAAAAAGCAACTAGGTATGGTGCAGGTCAGTAATGCCAGCCCGCCACAGGAAGTGGAGGCAGGGGGATCAGAGGTGCAAAGCCTACTTCAGCTATATAGGGAGTTACAGGTCAGCCTGGGCTACACCAGACCCAATTTCAATCAGTCCGTTAGTTTACGAAGCAGTAGAGTACAGATACTAACAGCCACAGCAGAAAGTGGGGCACTTAGTCCTTAAAGACACCCCCCAGGGGTGCAGAAGGGAGTCCCAAAGAGTACTTGAGAGATGGAGATGGGCGAGGTGGCGGTTGGGCAAGTGAGCAGCTGAAGGCAGTAACAACTAATTGACATTCAGATGCAGGAGTATTTGCGGGTGTTTTCACAGCGAAACTGACCCCAGTGCGTAACCAGGCAAGCCCAACTCAGTCTCCACTCCTCAGCATGGTTGAGCAAACAAAGCTTAGGGGGTTATTTCAGCTTTCTGCTAGCCAAGACCAAGGGCAGACTGCATATCATTTGGGCAGAGTTTGGAGCCCAAGTTCTGTCACTCCAGCAAATAAAGAAGCTCCACTGGTTATCTGGACAGTAAGAAGGGTGAGCCACGCAAAGCATGCGCCTGCCCCCCCCCCATCTTCCGCTAGTCTCCCCCCTCCCTCCCCAGACCGGTTTCTCCATCATCCTATAGTAACAGGATTTGAAACACAACCTCTAAGGTGCCTTCTAGCTCTGGAATTCAGTGCAATAATAAAATTGCCTTAAAAGCAGCTCCAACTTGTTGAGGAAGGCACACGATGGCTGAAGAAAAGAATTTTCCTGATTTCCAAAACAATTTGTTACTGCTAGGCTGCACGTTTCCCCCCCTTAGCAATGTGATAATGGCTCCATTTAGGAGCCAGCTGTGGTTTCTGTAACTGATACGACTACATTGTGTGACCTTCGCAAGTCTCATTTTTTTTTTCCCTGAGAGAAAAAAAAGGAGAATAATGTAAGACATTTTATTTTCGGTTAGAAATATATTCTCCCAAGTTCATCTGCAGTCAACAGTGATTTTCAAACTATTTCTTCGAATTTGTTCAAAATTACGGATAACGATTTAGAATACAGGAAGGGGGGGGCATCACCCACCAAGTTGCTAAATTCTATTCTTTAAAAAAGAAGTCTATAGTTGAAAGCCTCCAGACACCCCTTTTCTGAAACTGGTTGCTAGCTCGACACATCATATAAAGATTTGGGGTCGTTTCAGCTAAGTCTGGTTTTGTTGTCATATGTGTTCTTCATTGACCCAAGTGAAGACATCCATTGAGAAGATGCAACATAGGCTGACCACTTATTCAATCATTGGGGGAGGGACATCCTGTTTGTGTTCTCTTGGGTTGCTGTCATTCATTTTGCAGTTACCTTCATGGCAAACTCATGGACCCTTTCGCCAGCCCACACGGGATGTGTGTGTGCGTCCACCAAGCCTGCAAACAAAGTTGAAAAACGGAAGATGCTTAGGCGGTGCCTGACTGTGTCATAGTGTTCTGAGCACCTGGTGGTGGCCGTCCCGCTTGGAGACTTTGTGAGGTTCCCTCTACGTGGCCGATCTAGAAAGTTCTAGTAGAGGAGAGTAACTCCTCACCCCGCAAGGTCCCTCAGAGATATCCAGGTCGCTTACCCAGTAACTGCGCTCACCCCCAAACAAACCTTGAAGCTATGGTGGCAAAACTATTAATTGAGCAAAATTGAGAACAAGGACTAGAAGACACACACTGTGCTACTTTGAAAAGGAACTCTAAGGAAGGTGCAAGGAGCCTCAAGAAATACTTAAAGAGACTCTGTAACCACTTTACAGGCATGCAACAGGAAACCACACTGGCAAAGCAGAACTTCAATTCTCGGAGCCTCAACACTTTGAAGGCTATGGTTAAGGTTCTTTTTTTTTAAGACAAACCAATTGTCTTTCTTTTTGCTGTTCTAGAACCACTGTTCATTTCTTTCCAGAGTTTTCCGAAAAAGAGCCCCAGCACCTGGTAACACGCATTTCCCAGAGCAGTCAATTCTCTCTTCAAAAGTTTCTCCGGAGAACTGTCTTTGGATAACGTCCGCAGGGCCAATAGCTTTTATAAACCCATCCCTGGGAGGGAAAAAAAAAAATCAAGAAACAGTACTAAGTTTAGGGAAATTTTCCTGAAAAATATGATTAATGATTTAAGTGTGCTTTTGGATGCCATGATGTTAGTCAGTGTTTACTGTATTTCCCTCCTGACCTGGGTTTTTAGGAAAGAGATGGTCACTACAGTAAAGACAAACGGCAAACCATGGGTAGAAGAGATCGCTATTTCTTCTCTAAGATCAGCGGTCCAGTTCCCTGTGGTACTAGATCCCTAAATGACCCCGGAACACACAACTCCGCTCTCAGAGGCATGCCCAGTTGGCACAATGCTGCGTTAACCGGAAATCGGAGGCAAACAGTTTGCAAAAGGGGGCCGCAGAGAACGAACTACTGAAGCCCACTGCTTCAGAAGGGCTTTGTGTTTTAATGAGCTCAGTCCTCAGATGGAGGTTTCTGTCTGCCTCAGCTGGTATAGGAGGACTCTGGGATCACAGGGTTCTCGTCCCATCCACGTTAACCACAAGCTCTCCGTCTTCTGAGAAGGTGGGCTGTCATTCAGTGTCATGTTTGAACAACACACACACATCCAACCACATAGTTATTATAGGAAGCGAGAAATCATCTTCCAAAGGTGTTGGGTTTTTGCTGCTGTTGTTCCATTAAACATTCTTAGCTGGATTTTGAGATTTTACTGTGGGGGGGGGGACCTGAAACATCAAAATAATACGCACCCATTCCTTCTCTTTAAAAGGTGTGGGTATTTGTGCATTTTTATTTGTTTCAGAAAACAACGAAAAATGGTGTCTAAACTACATGCGAGCATTAGTTCCCTAATGCAGGGTTTTATAGATTTTGCAGGTCAATTGGTGCGTGTGCGTGGGTGCGTGCGTGTGTGTGCATGTGTGTGTGTGTGTGTGTTGATACAGGGTCTCATTCGGCTGTCGTGAAACTCACTCTGCAAATCAGGCTGGCTTTGAACCACCTGCCTCTGCCTCCAGAGTGCTGGTTTTGAAGGCATGAGCCGAGCCGCTATACCCGACCACAGGTGCTTATTGGGGGGGGGGGGGGGAGAAGAAGGATGTAATGTTACTGTTATCTGAAAGTATTAATTAATTAATTCTTGTTTACTTTCTTGAGACAGGGTCTCATGCGCAAACTCTACACGCAGCCAAGGATGGCCTTGGACTACTGCCCTCTCCTTTTGTGTCCTGAGTGTTGAGATTACAGACGAGGGCCAATATCTTGAGTTTTAGGGAGAAAAAGACTACAGAATCTTCTAGAAGCGGTAGAGCAGACCCTCCAAGCCAAGCAGGACTTTAGAAGCTCTGGTGGTATCGATGATTAGCGGTGGAAGATGCTCTGCAGGTGTTTTGTTGGGGAAAGAACTCCTAGCTCCGGGACCCCACCCGGCCTGTGCCCGATACTCACGAGCCCACCACCAGGCTGGCACCCTCCAGCACGGCCAGGCTGCGCAACGCGGGCCCGGCCAGGAAGCGCTCGCCGCGGGCGCACACCAGCACCACTTGCCGCGCGTTCTCCAGCAGGAGGCGGTGGCCGGTCGCCATGGTCGTCCTAGCTGCTAGCCGGCTGCAGAGGACAGTAGTGCCCGGTCAGCGGCGGCTCCCTGGCGGGGCGGGGCGGGGCAGCGCGGGGCGGGAGCTCGTTAGCAGCCTGGGGACACTGACAGCAGTGTCAACAAGAAAGGCTCTTAGCAATAAACCTTACTGTGGACGCCAGTTCTTTCAGGTCTGCTTTGCAGGTTTTAGGTAAAGGAGGTAAAAAATTATATTCACCCTCCAACCCCTAACTTTTGGATCAAAGAACTGAAATTTAGTCACCGGGAGACATCAAGTTGGACCAGGTAGATGCAGTGGCCAGGCGAAGTGAAGTCGGTTTGGGCGCTCACAGGGGGCCACCGTGGAGGGGAAAAACTCTGCCCGGGGGCCTGGGGTGGAAACTTAGGAGAGGACTCTGCGCAGGTGTGTGTGTGTGTGTGTGTGTGTGTGTGTGTGTGTGTTAGTGGAAGACAGAGACCCACAGAGACAGAGACACATTGTTATGCGGGAGCGTGGATCCGAACTGCGGTGGGACCGCAGGAGCAGATGAGCGGGGGCGAGCTGTGCCCACGAGGCGATAGGGGCACGGGGCGGAGGGCTGACGGTGCCCGAGCAGGTCCTGCGTCCGCGCGACCGTCCAAGCAGGGTTGCGGGTGCCGCGCACTGTTCGGTTGGCCAGCTCGACTCTAGGGTCCTGCTACCAGGAGGTCCCCAAGATGAAGGGGGCCTGGGGCAGGGAAGGATGGAGCTGAGACGCGGGTTCTCGGTTTGGCGCCTCTGTCTGCTTTGTCCCTACAGCCTTCGTGAAGCATAGGTCTCAACTGTGATTCAAACCCGTTGAGGTAAAATCAGATTTGAACTGAGTGTCTGCCGCATCCACTCCACCCGCACCCACTCTGCCCGAGTCTGGTAGCCTCTCCACACGCTGCGCTCAAGGTTGTGGAAAGCATCCGGTTTGTTTAAGAAAGGCTGGCAGGCACTTTTGAATCGGATTTGTTCTGGCTAGCTTTTAAAAAATATTTTCTTTGTTTTTTTTGAGATTATAATTACATCATTTTCCCTTTTCCCGCCCTCTTTCCAAACCGCCCTTGTTCCCTTTCAAATCCATGACCTCTTTTATCTTCTTGTTACATCTATATGGTGTGTGTGTGTGTGTGTGTGTGTGTGTGTGTGTATTTCTAAATACATAGATACAACCTGCTTAGTCTGTATAATGTTACTTGTATGTATATGTTTTGGGGGAGTTTTTCTTTTTTCTTTTTTTGAGACAAAGTCTCACACTATGTAATCCTGGCTATCCTGGAGCTTTCTATGTAAACCAGGATAGCTTTTAACTCAGAGATCCAATTGTCTCTGGCCACCCATCTCTCCCATACACACACACACACACACACACACACACACACACACACACACACACACACACCAGGGCTGGGATTAAAGGCATATACCACCAGACTTATTTTATTTGGTTTCTATGGTACATTCCAAGCAAAGACAGGAAAATGACTTCCGTGCTCAGCAAACACGACAATAGAAAGAAAGGGGGAAAAAATGACAAAAAACTATACCATGAAGACAGGCTTATTCTGCGAAACACAAAACACAAAGGTTGATTTTGGGTCACCTTAAATCCACTATAAAGCAGTCAGCGAAGTGTCTTTACGTGAGCAAATTAGTAGTAAATATCCTTTAGCTCCACCCCATGTCCTATAATAAAAGGGAGATAGGGTAAAAAACACAAAAGGAAGTTAGAAAATAGGGAGACAAGGTGAGTGGAAGGCCCAGAGGCTACTCACAAAGTAGAACCACAATCACAAACACTCATGATGAAAAAAAAAATAGAAATTAGCCAGGTGTGGTGGTGCATACCTTTAATCCCAGTACTCAGGAGGCAGAGGTAGGCAGAACTCTGGAGTTTGAGGCTAGCCTGGTCTACATAGTATGACACTGTCTAAAAAGAAAAAGAAAGAAAGAAAGAAAGAAAGAAAGAAAGAAAGAAAGAAAGAAAGAAAGAAAGAAAGAAAGGGAGAAAAAATAGAAATGGTGGAGGAGCGAAACATAGTCACTTATGCATAGGGAATTATTGAATTTTTATAGTATAAAATTTCTGCCAACCTGTCGCATTTGGCAGACAAACCACACTGGCAGACGTAGGCCATTACAGATACAAAGGAAGGGTTCAAATTGGGGTTCAACAAACATGTTATTTCTCATCTGAGCTGACCTCAGGAAATCTGTTTAAAATTTCCCCCAGGCAAGGTTTTCTTAGCCTTAGGTAGGCGTACTTGTTTCTAGCTTGTGGGTTTCCTCGGCCTTCAGATAAAATGTAAGTCACTTGGGCCAGCACTCACCTATAAATGAGCTGTGGACATTTTCATTGTTGCTAGTGGATTTTAATGCTGTTTGCCTTGAATGTCAGTTAAGGATTGGACTTCAGGCTGTACTACAGTTTCTCCCCTGGCTTCACAGAATGAACCATGGACTGTGTTTAGGGCTTGTGTATTCCTGAAACACGTTAAAAGAAATTATACTTCTCTTCCATGGGTATTGATGTCGAGGGGTCGCTTGAATGTATCTGATTAACCATCCAAGGAGGCGTCACCTGAGAGGAACTTGCAAACATGGGTTTGCAGACATAGGAAGCTTAAGGACCGAAAAGCTGAGCATTAGAGAGACCCAGATACTGACACAGTAAAAGCCCTTACTGTTCTTCTAAAGGAGCCAAGTTCAGTCCCCGGCGCCCTCATCAGTCCGCCCACCACTACACGTAACTCCAGCTCCAGGGGATCTGACACCCTCTACAGACACTGCTGTTATGTGCACGCGCGCACACACACCCCATTTAAAACTATTTTGAAAGCTCCAAAAATTTTAGTACTGAGCAGCGACCCCATAATACTGACTTTACAAAGTTGGTCTCACATTACCTGACACACATGGGGACTCCCTTCCACTAGCCTTCCTTCCACCTGACCCCTGACCCTTAGTTAAGCATTTCGGTTTGCCAGAGGGGCTATCAGAAACGTCAACAGAAAAGTCCACACACACAAGCACCGAGCCTGACGCCAGCAGGGCAGAGAGGTCGAGCTGACAGACATTTCCTCACCCTTCTGCTCCAGTTCTGACCTGATTAAAAGAGGCAGGCCAGGAGAGTAGGCCAAGGACCTGTGGGTCCCTGGCCTCTGGGCAAACAAGGAACTGCTGGCTCAGGCAGAGCTACACCATTCAAGGCCGCAGTTGACAGCTTTTCCTCCTAGTGTTTGCCCAAGGTGGGTGGGGAGAAACCTGGAAAGGTATTGGGTCAGGGAGAATCGATCCAATCCTTATATGAATGTGGGGTCACACACAGTGTATGTGTACATATATATGTGTATATATGCTTATACATATGAGTTAAATACATACACACACACACACACACACACACACACATATATATGTAATATATATGTTCATCGCCCACTTAGGGGATCTGAAAATTCATTTTCACTGGGTTGTAGGCATAGAGTTGTGAAAGCTCAATACAGGCTTGCTTCCAGCAGTGAGTGTCTGGTAATGAACGCCCTGGCTAATTGTATTTAAAATTAGTCTAGAACTCTATGATTGGATCTATGAAACTCACTTCCCGAGAGTCTTAAAAATGGAGAATCTGCACGTGGATTTGCACTGCCCGTCCAACCGGGCTTCAGGGATATCACTCAAGGTGTCTTACAAAGACCCGTTGCCCCGACTCTTCCCAAATGTTGTAAGACAGGGTGGGGCAGAGGACAGACCTAGATGATTACCTATGTTGGAAGACACACGAGCCATCAGTTCCCACTCACCTCCCACAAGTGCGTGCTGTGTAAGAGGCGTCGAGAGAAAAAATCTACACGGAAGGAAGGGACTTGGGCCTAGTTCCAGGCATAGGTTTAAGAGTCCATTTGGAGTCAGACCTCCCAGCCCCCAGGGCCGTGATTTCCCTCTATGCTTCCCCCCGCCCCGCTGTCCTTGGGAGGCTGGTCATCCAAGAACAAGTGTGTGATTTCACAAGATTGTGTGTGGGAGAAGTGGGAGGACTGGCTGGAACAGCCAGTGTGGTGCTCCTTTGAAGACCAGTATATCATATCCCTGTGTCCCTTGGGTGGCCTGATGGACGCCTGGAATGTACCACGCTCCAAACAGAAGCTCTGCAATGCCCAGTTGCCCCTGCCCCAATCTTCTCTGTCTCCATCCGTTCGAGGCCTCGGCTCTCTGTTTGACACACTACGTCTGCATCATCAGCGGGGCAGCTAGGTGCTTGTAAAAGATACCTAGAATTCTCACGCTTCTACTACCTTCCCAAGGGACCCCACTGACCCCTAAGAATTCTCTGTGTGAATTAAGCCAAATTTTATGGTTCCTCCTTAGCTCAGCAGTCAGAGTAAGTCACTGACCAATTAATTCCCCATTTCTCAGGGTAAAGAACTTGCCCGTGCTTCATAATCTAGAACTTGGCTTCTTGGTTTCTCTCTGGCCTCATCTATCCATCGTCCCTTTGTTTGCTGTGTCCAAGTCCCACGGATCTCCTTACACACACACACACACACACACACACACACACACCAGACACATGCACAGATGCACACACCATACACACCCATCATCTTCTTAGGACATTCCTCTCCATGTGCACGTGTACGTGAGCCTTCGTTCGCACTTGCCTATCACAGGCTGGAAGTGTTAACTTGTGAGCCCCGTAAGGACGCCACTGTCTTTGTCCCTTTTCAGTGGTGGGGAGGTTGGGGAGCGTAAGAAGACGCCACGTTCTTCACCGGCTTACCTGTGCCACCTCTAAGAGAGGATGGCCCCTAGTCACACTCCGCAGTTGTAAGCGGCGGGGAGTTCTGAGCTCTTGGTGTCTCTCAGCCTTTAGAGCTGTGATTCTCAACCTTCCTCAGGCCACGACCCATTAACACACTTCCTCGTGTTGTGGTGACCCCCAACCGTACAACTGTTTTCATCGCTGCTTCATAACTGTAATTTTGCTGCTGCTGCTTCCCGATGATCTTAGGTGACTCCTGTGGCAGGGTTCCTTAGGTCCCACAGGTTGAGGACCGCTGCATTAGAAGTTGGCTGTGAACTGAAGACGTGAGTTTCTAAGCATTTGCTTTCCAGGGCAGTTGGTTCCCTCGGCACAGAACTTTCTTTCAGCCACTGTGGTATTTTCTTTAACACAGGACATTGCCCTGTTCCTGGGTGGAGCTGATTGGGTTTCTTCTACCTCCCTTTGTTCTTCCTCACACCTCCTTAGTCATTTGGGGAAAAAATCCGAAGGAAAGGCAGGCGCTTCGGGGCTTCCAGAGACCGGAGCATTTGCCGTCAACTTTCCTGTATTTATGTGAGATTTAAATAGATAGATAGATGATAGACAGATGGATAGATAGATAGATAGATAGATCATTCACGTGTTATTAATCTCCACAACTGAGCTGTTTTCTCAATTTTTTTGTTTTCACTTTTTATTTTATAATTTTATTTTTTGGCAGTTCTTTGACAGTTGAAGTAAGTGCCTCTTACCCAGCCTTACCCCAAGCCTGGCTGGAGTGGAAGGAGAGAGTCGTAAATCCGTTGCCACAGACTCTGGCTCACCGGTGTTAGGATACCCAGACAACACATGCAGTTTTCTCTACCCACGCCATCCCTACACCTTGGAAGCGTATTGGTTGGTTGTTTGGTTGATTTTGCATGTGTACCTGTGTGAAGTCAGAGGGCAACCTGTGGGACTCACCTCTGTCCTGTTATGTTCCTGGGATTTGAATTCCGGTCGTCCGGCTTGCTGGAAAGTGCCCTTATCTTTTCAGTCATCCCAAATGCCCTATTCTTTTTTTTTTTTTTGACTTAACAATAAGGGGTACCAGGAGTGATCCCAACATTATGCTAAAGATCACTTGACAGTTTACTTTATGGTGAGCCACAGCTATTCCGTGCTATTAAATGGTACCAATCACATACTCTGGCACATAAGGTTTTTTGCTCTCGGGGTTGGTTGTTTTCTGGAGTGTAAATTCCTGGAACTGGAATTGCTGGGCACAGTCTGTGTGGTCATGGTTTCAAAAGCCAGGAAAGTTGCTGAGAAGCGGCTGGCAGCCGAATTGAGCCACAGCTATGCAATGTATACAGGTTTTGTTTGGCTTTGTTTTTAAAAATTTGTCTTGGCTTTTCAGGTTGGAGGAATGGATCCGTCATTAAAGAATAGGCTCACAACTAAAATGCTGCAATATTTCTTTTGTTTTTAAGTGTGTGTGTATACGTGTGCATGTGTGCAAGCGAATGAAGGTGCCTCAAGAGGCCGGAAAACGACGCTGGAGCCTGCGACGCTGGAGCTAAAGGCAGTTGTCAATTGCCAAACATGAGTGCTGAGATCCCAACTCAGTTCTTCCGAAAGAGCGGTTTAAGCTCTCAGTGGATGAGCTGCGGGTCCAGCCCCTGTAGACAGATCATTTATGATTTTAGTATGGGTATACATTTTATGTGACATCTATTCGCTTGTGTCTGAAGGGTTTTTAAACGGTGTGTTTCGTTTTCTTTGGACAGGACCAGAAGACAAAATGTCATCCCAGTTTTTGGAGACATCGACGAGTGCTAGAGGTAAAGATCAAGCAGTCAATGTGTTCTCACTATATATGCCTGGTACTATCGGGCTCGGTGCTGGCTGGAGGGTAAGAGAGAAAGCTACATGCCAGAGTAAGAAAAACAAAAGGACTTGTACATCCTGCTGAGAAGTTTTGGTCAGGGCTTAGGGTTACTTGCTTTATAAAATCCCTTACTTGTTATGTTTGTTGTTTGTCTGTTACCCCTCCCTCACGCCTCCCAGTTCAACTCAGTGTAAGGGCAGAGTCTTTATTTTGTTAACTAGTGTATGTTACATGGCGCAGAGCAGAGACCCTCCGGGGGTATTTGTTGAGTGAATAAGTGAATGAATGGATGACTGAATTAGAACCAGGTAAGCAGAAAGAGAACAAACAAAGAACAAGGGAACAAGTCTGTGTGTCATAGGCAGACTCGAAGTCTCCAAATACGCACACGTTACATTCCTTGGAACCTGTGAATAGATTGCTTTACTTGATTAAAAAAAAAAATAAACTTTTCAAATGTGATTAAGTTAAGGAGCTTGACTTGGGAAGAATATTCTGGATTATCTGATGGGCCTGGGCTAACCCAAAAGTCTGCACAGGAGGGAGGCAGGTGTGTCTTAGGCCGGGAAGGCAGTGTGACAATGAACCCGAGGGTGGATGGGTGGAGGGGGCTGCAAGCCAGAGCGCGTAGGCAGAAGACGCAGACAGGTCCTACTAGAGCCTGCCGAGACGCCCACCCCCTTGTAGCTCGTTGTTAGGGGACTTTAGGCTCCCCCTCCCTAGAATTCCCAGTCGGGGGCTTTTGTAGTCCTGTCACAACCTCCACATGACACGAACAGTCAAGCCCCGCAAGACTGTTTGTTAGCCATGACGGGGCTCTTCGGAGCAGCCCCAAGGAAAACACAGCTGAACTTGGAGGAACCTGGGTACAGTGAATGCCTCAGATGCCCAAGCGACAAGCTGCACATCCAAGGTTCACGTTGCTCTATAGCCTGCAGTAGGATTGGGCGGGAGGCTAAGGGTGGATTCTAGCAGGTGCTGCGGGTAAGGTGTTAGTCGGGGTGCAATTTCAACTTCACCCCCAAAGATCAGTCTACCCAGAACCTGAAAATAGGAGCATGTTTTCAAACAGAAAAGGAAAATAGAGAAAAGAAAATATCGTGGATTTATGGCCCATCTCAAATGCCATTTATGGTGGTGCAAGCCTTTAATCCCGGCCCTTGGGAAGGAGAGGCCGGCAGCTCTCTATGAATCTGAGATTAGCCTGGTCTATATGGTGAGTTCTACAATAGCCAGGGGCTACATCGATAGACTGTCTCAAAAATCAAAATGGTCCCCCACCCAAAAAGCAACTAGTAGTCTTACAGGAGATCAGAGAGGAAGAGAGTGTGGGTGGCCTAAACCTAGCCTGCCAATTACTTCCCTCTGAGCATTCCAATTAGTATCAACAGGCCCACTGGGTATCTGGGATCCATCCTTGCTCTGTTACCGGCAGGGGACACAGGATGGGCTCAGGCAAGCTCATGGTCTTAGGTCTAGAACACAGCAGGCAGTTTTCTGTGATAAAGGGGCTCGTGTAACCGCAAGCCGGAGACTCGGAAAAGCTGGTGGTAGAGCCCAGCCCAGTGTGAAGGCCAGAGCCCAGGCGGGCTGACAGTATCAGCCCCAATCTGTTGAGCATGGATGGGAGATAAGAGGTGGAGTGTCCCAGCTCAAACCAGCAAGGCACCTATGTGTATGAGAGAGACAGACAGACAGACAGACAGACAGACAGAGGGGTGGATATTTCTCCCTCCTCAGCTGCTGTTCTGCTCAGGTCCTCTGTGGATTGGTTGGTGCCCATACATATTGGAAGGAACAGCTTTCTTTATTGACTCTACCCATTTGAATGCTAAAAGCCACCTGGAAAACACCTCACAGATACACCCAAAATAACGTCTAATCGGGACGAAGCACAGCCCGGTTCAAGGTAACCAAGAAACCAGCCACCGTGGCTTCCCAGACCTGCATCGCTCTTTCTCTGCTGAGCCCTAGCCTGCTGGCCACGCGTTCCCACCTTCCTGCTCTCCCCAGGCGCACCCTCTGCCACCTAGAGCTCTCTCCCCTCCGTGTATTACGAGGCCTGCAATATCACCTGCTTTCATGACATCCCTAAACCCCACAGGGCCCCTGAGGAACCAACCACAACTTGCCCTGCTTTTACCAGACGCGGCCCTCCCTTGGCTGACACCTGTCTCACGGACCCGCCACATTGCACTCAACCATCATATCATATCATATCATATCATATCATATCATATCATACCTTCAGCTTTCTAAGGAGCTGGCAGATGTGTGAAGAAGTGGTCACGCCACGTCACGCGCCTGCTGGCGGTTGATGGCCCAGTGTCACCTCCATATCTCCAAGTGGGATCTTGTTGTCTTACTACAGAGTCCTGAGCTATGGTTCAGCTCCCCTGGGGTGCTGAGCTCTGAGCTTGTGCCATAGACAATGGGCTCTTACCCAGAAGACCCAGGCCAGATGTTTCCAGTTTCAGCTGGAGGACAGGATGCATCTGCGCTCCACCTTCTCAGAGACCCCTGCGAACCATTTCCCTTTCCCAGCAAGTGGGAGACTTAATAAGCCTAGTGATTTATTAGCTGAGCTAACAAATCCTTCCTTCCCCCTCTCACCTTCTTCTCCCCTTTCTTTCTCTCCTTTCAGATACAATAAAAGATGATGCAATCAGAAAGGAACGACCCTACAAGATCTTCTTCAAAGATCTCTTCCTTTTCAAAGAAAATGAGGTGGCCGCGAAGAAAAAGGTAAGGTTCTTATTAAGTTCAAGGCCCCAAAGAGGTTAGAATCATGTGTTTTAAGCCATAGTTCTTATCAGTTTGTGTGGGTTAAGACATGGTCTTAGGGCTGGGCTGGGTGACACATGTCACTTGAGAGGCAGAGGCAGGCAGATCTCTATGAGTTTGAGACCAGCCTGGTCTACAAAGTTGGTTATAGGACAATTAGGACTTTTAAAAAAAGATATTGATGTGCCTGGTATGTGGTCATCCGGACTGTTCTGGGAAGACTGGGCATTCAGAGGACAGAGGTAAGCAGGGACCTTCGGAGATCGCCACCTAGTGGGGGAAGGCAGCTACGCCGGTACCCGCTAGCGTGACAGGTAGGGTCCACCCTACTTCACAGGTCTGACACATATACACTTTTCACATTATTACATTTCTGAAACCGGGACTAGCCTGCACAGATGGCATGTCGTGCATCATTGGCCAAACACAAAATAAAAGTGTGTCTCACCACGGGTGACACCTTTGAATTGACAGACAGGTCACAGCATCAGAGATGTGTAAAGGAGACAGACCGGTCTGCCCTGTTGACAAAAGAGAGGACGGGAGGGGGAGAGACAGAAGTTACCTTGGTGACAGGAGCTGAGTCCTTAGGAATGACCCCAAAGGTGTCAAAGCAGTTATGGATAAACAAGTCTATGCGTGCTTCGGGGAGAGAAGAGAAGAGAGAAGGGGTGAAGAGGGGGAAGAGGATCGTTTTTTAGAGTAATTTGCAGTGAAGTTTAATCAGCAGGGAGCCTGAGGTTCACATTTTCTTCCCAAGGGTCACTGGTTAAAGGACCCTCCTCACCCTACATAAAATGAGGAATACATCTAGAAACGCTTCAGTATCTTCATTTGGTTTGGCTTTTCTCCAGGTGTTGGCGAGCCTTTGTTGAACGTAACATAATATTAAACTGAGAGAACCTGAAGGAAATCCAAGGGGTGGGTTCTCACCACATCCCGTGGAGCTCTGTCCCCTCTTGTGTCCCGACAAGCTAACCTCTCGGGATTTCCCTGGAAAGACGTTTTCCTGTCTCTGAGGTAGTTTGTTAAAGGCTCCACCTTTCAAACACGGCCTTCCTTGTCTCCATCTAACAAGGAAAGGGATGCGGTGCACATCGCTTCCAGGGCAGCTCCCAGGCGGCCTAGGGCCAAACGTCTTGGCTGTTTGCCTACGATCACGATCATAACAATACAGTTCTTTGCCGTATCAAAGCTCCCTCTGCACTTTTGCGCCTTGGGCAGGAAAGACTCATGAGCCGCAACATGAAAATCCACCAGAAGACGACGTTTTCATCTCGCATGAAGAGCCGCTCGCACCTCAGCCAGCTGACGTTCTACACGGAAGCAGGCGGCAGCTCCTACGAAGACCTGGGGCTAGACCCCACTCTTATTCTCAGACTGACAGAAGGTAAGCCCACGCTACTCTTCGTTTTAAAACGCGTGCGTCATCGGTTGGGGAGATTTACCGGTGGCGAGAGGCAGTATGCTATTTCGAGATAAGACCGCCAGAGGGCGCATCACATCACGGACACTGTTTGATAGGGAGATAAAGATGGAGATTGGGTTCCTCTGGGTGGCCCTGGATGTTCTGAAGTTCACTCTGTAGACCTCGCTGGCCTCAAACTCAGAGATCCCCCCCCCACACACACACACCTCTTCTGGGATTAAAGGCATGTGCCACCACTGACCTGACAACACAGATATTCTTAAAGCCAAAGAGAAAGTGTTTATTGCTGGCCTGCAGCTGCATGGGGGAACTTGCCCAAAGCCTTACAGCCTTTTGTCTTCTGGGTACAAAAACCACATCCTGGTCGGCACACTTCAGTTAACAAGAAGTAGATCTACAGAAGCCAAAAGGCAAGGTTAGTACCGTTAGGGACTTCTTTATTTGTGGACTTTTCTAGAACTATGAACTAGGTCCTTATTTCCATTTTTGTCAGAGTTTGGGGCCTGCGTGCTGGGTTTTCAGGTCAGGATGGTGTCTCTAACATGGAGTCGTTGATGCGAAGTTCTGGGGCCTGTGAGAATATGGCGGGTAAGATCTCGGCGCCAGGCTTCAGAGCCAGAGGAAAGCAGCTTAAATAAGAATACGCTTGCCCAAGACCATCGCTTTTTCTTCTGCTTTGGGGAAGGAAGGAAGTCGTTGTCGAAATAATAGTGTTGACGTTGGGCATAGGTGGGAAATATGAATGCAGTGGCCCTCGCCATCTGTACGCTTTGAGGCGTGGGAACCCAGACAGTTCCTAAGGAGCTTTGGTGGTTCAAAGCACACAAAATAGTCTAGTGGGGGAAGAAGGAGGGATATCAACAGGCAAGACAGATAAAATATCAATGACGTTGAAGTAACTGAACTTTGGGCCGCACTGTTATGAACGTCAGTGATTTCAAGATTGTGCAATTTTTAAAGTACTATAAAGGACAGCTGCCTCTAAGTGATAGTTACTCAACCGTGCTCTATTTGATCTGCAACAAAGTGCTCTTAGATACGTTTCCCTCCTCTCTGCAGATGAAAATGGCTCAGTGAGGTTGAGGCACCCCAAATCTCTAAGCAAATCCAGAGTTCAAGTCCAAGCCTGTCTGACTCCATCGGCTACCTCTCAATGGATATTAGTCAATGACTGTAATAATTATTGCTGCTTTTGTGATTGATTGCAAAATGAAATGATTCATTCCAAGTGTGTTGTCTGAATAATAGCCGCTAAATAGTTCTTGAGAAACTACTGTGTGTTGTATATTCTGCGGCCCTGTTCCTTTTTCCAACGCTGCGGGAAAGAGGGATGTTCTTATGTGGGCTATCATGTGCTTTCATAACAAATACAAGCCATGTTGAAATTTCAGTGGCTTCCAATCCCAGAGGTTTACTTCTTGGTTGCTTTCCCTTTGGGTCCCTGCCAAAGGAACGCTCGCTGTCTAGAATATCTCAGGGGCTGCAACTAAGGCTCATGAAGCTTCTTCTTAGAAGTCACATAGCTCCATGCCTGTTTCATGACCAGAACATGGCAACTGATGGAGGAGGGTCATCTATCTATGTGTTACTTTCATTGGTTAATAAAGAGACTGCCTTGGCCTTTTTGATTGGCCAGCCCTTAGGTGGGTGGAGTAGACAGAACAGAATGCTGGGAGAAAGAAGCAGAGGCAGAGAGCTGCCCGCCATGAAGCTGTCAGGTCAGACATGCTAAATCTTTCCCGGTAAGCCACGAGCCCGTGGTGAGACACAGATTACTAGAAATGGGTTGAATCAATATGAGAGAGTTAGCCAATAAGATGCTGCAGATAATGGGCCAGGCAGTGTTTAAAAGAATACAGTTTCCATGTAATTACTTCGGATAAAGCTAGCCGGGCGGGCGGCGGGAAGCGGCCCGCCGTTCATTTTACAGGCAACGACCATGAGCTGAGGGTAGAAGAACAGTTTTCACACAGATGAGGAAACTGAGGCACAAAGAGAGCAGCAGGCTTACTCATCTCTCCCAGTTAGAGGTGGGAGCCAGGGCACCTTTGGTGAGACGTAGCCTCCCAGGGCGGCACAGACCCGCTGCCTGTTTAGGAAGTATTTTCTTTCTATGTAGTTAGCGAGAGACTTCATTCTGTACCACATTCTGTCGGTTTCACACGAGGCTAATGTGGAAACGTAGCATTTTCCGAAATGAAGAAACCTTGAATGTTCTTGGAATTCCTCTTCAGTTTTCTGAAGGATGAAACCGGCCATCATCTTTTTCACCCTGGTTGCAATGCAAGGTCTCCAAAGACGTGGAGCCCAAGGAGCCCAGTATTGTGTCTAGACCGGTCAAACATAGAGATCCAGGTCCGTCACCAAACACAAACAGAACTCTGTATCATATGTAGGCTCAGTGACCATTGCAGAAAATGGGGCAACAAGAGCCAGAGGTCCGAGAGGACCAGAACTAAGCAATGTTTTCTAGACATTCCAGGGTCACCATACCCATGAACTCACAGTAGCTGCACAAGACCTCTGCAAGATCAAACCGGTCAACATGCCAGCATGGAGGGGGAGAGGAGCTCCTCACTGAGAAGCTATGCACAGTTGGTAACTTCTCAGGTGAAGGAGGGGGCAGGGGAATGGTCTGTAAGCCCCTGATAGATGGACCACGCTCCAGAGGAGAACCCCATATCCATGAGTATGTGGGCGGCACAGATTGGACTCAGTGAGTTATTTTTAAAAAGTATTTTTTTAAGGAGGACACAAAGTTGGGTTGGGTGGGGAGGTGGGGGTGGATCTGGGAGAAGCTAGGAAGGAGGTGAGAAGGTGAACATGATCCAAAATACAAAGGTCACATATAAAATTCTCGAAGAATCCGTAGAGGTCCCATATTAGAGGAAAACATTGGAGCAGTCTGCCTCATTTCATACAGCAATGGCTTCGCCCCATCTCTGTCACTCATAGCTATGGGATTCTGGACAAGAATGTTGGCATCCTGAGGCTTTAGCACACGAAGAAGATGAGATGGTAGTAATAAATTATTCATGATCAAGTAGCATGTTTAAAATCCCTAATCCGCTCTCCGAACTGTTTGAAGATACAAAATAAGGGGTAGCCACTATCGCGGCAGCTTTGGAGTGCCAGGGAAACCCTACTGGAAGGCAACGCTCTTTTCTTAGTTTGCATGCACAGCGAGTATGATGACTTGGGCAGCTCGTGTTCTGTGCGGTATCGCTGAGAGCTAGCCAACTAAACCTACGTCTGTTTCCATGTTCTCTCCAGGCTCGGACAGAAAGAGGACTGTGCACGAGTTTATTAACGACCAGAGAGACAGATTCCTACTGGAGGTACTAAATGTAACTTCTTCCTCCCGTTAACCAGGAGACTTCTTGCATAGTATTGTCAGATACTTAGCCCGGCGTTGTGTTTTTTCTGTAACGTGTTCTAAATCTATTATTGGCTGAGCAGAGTGGCTCGTTCCTACGCTCACTCTCTTGAACAATACTTATCGAGTACTTATGGTGTGCTAGGCCATTACAAAACTCCCTCCCATGGGAGAACTTAGATTTAAGTAATCTATACTAGTAACCCAGGAAGTGGTCTGTATTTCTAGAGGACATTGGGCCCCATTATCTCTTATTCCCTTCAGTCCGAGAATAGCCCCAGTAGCCCTCAAGAAACCTATTTGACTTAAGAATTTTCTGATATTCGTGTTGGCTATGATGGGAACCAGAACATTCTGGAATCTTCCAGCTCTCTCTATGCCCACTCCTACCAGAGAGAAATGACTTGTTACAAGGAAAGGAAATATTAAAATCAGCTGGAAGAGCCCACCATGAGGCAGGGTTTAGAAGCACGAGCAAGGTTCTTGGCCAACCAGCCCCTCAGCTCTGTGGAGCCCACCTGTGGTACCATCTGCAGCTGTGACGATAAACACACAGCCTAGCCAACCAGGGAAGAACTTGAAGCGTCTTATAAAATAAGAGAGGATTTTATCCTGTCGTCAGTAACCTTGAACTGGAACCCAGGCCACATGACAATAATATTATTTAGTAGTCATATGTACATGTTAATTTACCACGGATAGAGCAGAGACACTGTGCTCGCAACAGTGGGAGAGTAATTACAAAAAGGATCAATCGGCTGCTGTCCACATCTCTGCTGTCGAAGCCCAGGTCGTTTGGAGACAGTCCGTTTCTGTCGAGGTCTTGAACGCTAATGAGTAAGGGAAAAGATATCTGATCTTTCCTAATTTCATAGCACACACTTTGGGATACAGGGATGCTTTTCTATGAGACCGGCTGCAGTCAACAGAGCTCACATCAGCTACATCCTGCGGCTGTGACGAGAACCCCACGCCTTTGTCTGCTAATATCAGTTCCTGTCTGGGATTTTGGTCCTTGGCATGAAACCCTGGCGATGGAACTAATGTCTTGGCTAGGTACCCGGAGATGGCACTTGGCAGTTACTCTAGGATTTCAGTGCGGTTATAGTAAATGGGCTTTGTCCACTGCTCTGGCGTTTTTTTTTTTTTTCTAACCCCCCAAGCAGGTTGATAACATATTCACCAACTGATAGAATAAAGTCAACTTATCGCTCAAACTGTAGCTGGAAAAAAAAAACTGACCTTGCCCAAGCAATGTCTGGCTCTGGCCTTGTTTTCTAGAAGGTAGGGCCAATGTCACATCTCCTAAAGATATCTTTAAGGTGAGGGTGGCCATGTCCACCAGTCTTGGGATGGCTGCGTCAGGAAAACCAACACTGTGGAGGTTTGGGGTCATGCCGAGAGGGTCTGGGGATTGAAGACGAGTCAGTCAATCAATCACGTCTGTGGAATGAAGCGTCGTTGGAAACTCCAGCCAGGGATGCTCAGTTGATTCCCTGGTTGCTATAGCCATGTTGGCTATACCATTACAGGTACAGGAGGCCGACTCCGTGGGGGAGGGGGTCCCCGAAGCTTTGGATCTGGAATACCTCTACACCAGTGTGGTTTTCAATATGTGGGTCTCGACCCCCTGGGGTCACATGTCGGATATTTACGTTATGATGCGCAATGGTAGCAAAACTGCAGTGATGAAGGATCAATGGAATAACTTTACGGTTGGCAGTCACCACAGCGTGAGGAGCTGTAATAAAGGGCCTCAATAGGGAGGCTAAGACCCACTGCTCTATACCTTACCTCAGGGGGCTCTTCTTCTGGCCCAGGGGTTTTGGGAGATCTCCCAGAAACCTGAGGCTCTTTGAGGGGCTCAAATTTGCTGTAGCTGTCAGTAGTGAGAGCAGATTTGGGGATGAGTAACTTAATTTCCAAAAACCGAATCGGCCCTAAAGCATCTAGACTTGTTTCTTTCACCCCTTTTCTCTGCCCCCCCCACCTTCCTTTTTAAAAGTTTTATTTGTGGCAGACTTAGGGTGTGAAGGCGCCATTTAGAATGTAAGTGCTCATGTATTGTGATTTTTATACTAAGATTTTACGTCAATAATTTGACATGGTTGGAACGGATTTCTGCCAAGTTACAAGCTAACGAAGCCTGTTCAAGGAGAACGTAGATAAACAGCTTCATATCACTATAAAAATTGAACCAGTAGGCAAAAGAAAGAAGAAAATCCACATTCTCTGGCTAAGTGTACCAGACATTTTAAGAGAAAGTCATTCTAATTTTACAGACCCCGTTACATAAAATCGAGTAAGAAGGAGGAACATCCCCCAGCACGCGGTATGACAAGAACGGGTCCACAGGATGGCCTAGTGGGCAAAGGCACATGGCTCCAAGCCTGGTGACCAAGTTCAGTATCTGAGACCTGCATGGAGGAAGGAGCGGCTTCTCCCAGTTGTCCTCTGACCTCCACGTGTCCCTGTCCCATGCACTTAAACAATCCAACTAGCCAGCTGAATTTAATAAATGTTTAAAGAGGAAAAAAGGTAGAGGCAAGCACTCTAAGCAATTTTTAACAAATCCAATAATACGCGAAAAGGATAATCCATTATGGTTAATTGGGGCTTATCCTAAGCATGTAAAAGCAGCTTAACATTTGAAAATAGCTAAGTACAATACGTAGCAACAGATTGGAAAAGAAAAGCCATATAATCATCTCAACCAATGTGGAAAGAGCATTTGCCTATATCCAAAATTTATCCTTTTTAATAACACGACTGTTATCCTTTGAGACTTTCTTACAATGTATTTTGATAATGTCACATACACTCCAACTCATTCCAGATCAGCTTTCACCCCTTATTTGTCCACTTTCATGGTCTTTCCTTTTTTTCTTTAAACCTGTTGCATCTGATTTGTGTTGCCCAACTGCTCTTGGATGTGGGGCCTGCCCTGGATGTGGGTGACTGACCAAGAGTCACACCATTAAAGAAGAATCCCTCTCCCACTCCCCGGAGCTCCGGTCCTCCACACTGTGGTTTGGCTTTGTTTGCATTTGCAAAGTCTTGTGCGTGTTGTTGCGATTGCTGGGGGTCCCTATGCGCGCTTTGCCGGTTGTGTCTGGAAAACACTGTGTTCTTGATCTTGACGTCATCTACACCCCGGCTCTTACCATGTTTCTGCTCTTCCACAACCATCCCTGAGCCTCGGGGAAATCGGTTTCATACAGATGTTCTGTGCAAGGCTGAGAATTCCACAGTCTCTTGTTCTCAGCTCGTTGAACGATTGCGGGTCTCCATGTCTCTCACCGTCTATTATAAGACGCCGCTTCTCTGATGACAGTTGAGAGACACACTGATCTCTGGGCACAGCAATATGCCATTAGGACTTATGCTGGCTGCTTCCACGCGAACTTGACACACATGCTAGACCCATCAGAAAGAAGGGAGTCTCAGAAAAAAAAATTCTTCCATAAAATCTGGCTGTAGGTAAGCCTGTAGGGCATTTTCTTAACCAGTGATTGACATGTGATTGATGTGGGAGGGCCCAGCCTGTCTTGGGTGGGGCCACCCTCGGGCTGGTAGGCCTGGGTTTTATAAGAAAGCTGGCTAAACTAGCCATGGGAAGCAAGCCAGTAAGCTGCATCCTCCTTGGTTTCGGAATCAGCTCCTGCCTCCCGGATTCTGCCCGGCTTGAGTTCCTGCCCTCACTGCTTTTAGTGATAAAGTGTCATATGGAGGCATAACTGAAATAAATCCTTTTCTCCCCAAGATGTTTTGGGCCATGCTACTTCATCACCACAATAGTAACCCTCACTGTTACTATTATAATATATATAATATATGTTACTAATTATAATACTACTACTACTGTTATTATTATTATTAGTTAGCGTTTTTATTTATGCTGTGGAGAGACACCATGACCACGGCAGCTCTTATAAAAGAAACGTTTAATTGAGGGGGCTCGTTTACAGTTTCAAAGGTTCAGTCCATTACGGTCATGAAGGGGAGCATGGCCGTGTGTAGGCAGACGTGATGCTGGAGCTGAGAGTCCTATAGCTTGACTCAGAGGCAACAGGAAGTCTACTGGCTGTCATACTGAGTGAAGCCTGAGAAAAAGAATCTCAAAGCCCGCCCCCACAGTGACCCACTTCCTCCAGTGAGGCCACGCCCACTCCAACAAAGCCACACCTCCTAATAGTGCCACTCCCTTTGAGATCATGGGGGCCAATTATATTCAAACTATCACACTAAGACAGGAGTTGTTTCAGTGCTATATCTACTTAGCAGAGTAATAGTAGTAACTTCTCCCCTAGGTCCTATCTAGTCACTAGTTCTTGACCCCAACAGTAGGGCTAGATAAGGGTTCTCTACCCAGTGATATAGACCTTAAGTCCAATCAGAAAGTGGTTACTCAAATAATATCTGTGCCACTATTGCACCAGTAAGCATATCTTGCCAGGCAGGTCAATATTGTAACTCCTAGGGTTCATAACCGGATAAGAGTGGTGGTTGTTTCTCTCCTCTGCTGGCATGCATAGCTCTTTCCAACATTATGAACGTTATCTAGACGGGGTGAAACTTCCGGGTCTGTACCAGCTGAATTTCTCCACGGTGGTGTCTTCAGTGATACTGTCTCAGTCAGGTGTCTACTGCTGTGATAAAACACCATGACCAAGAGAAAGGAAAGGGTTCCTCTCACCTTATTCGTCCAGGTAACTGTCCATCACCAAGACTGAGGGAAATTTAGCTTGGGAACTGGGGCAAGGCAGGAACCTGGAGGCAAGAACGGAAGCAGAAGCTGTGGAGGAGTGCTGCTTTCTGGCTTGCTCCCCATGGTTCACTCAGCATGTTCTTTTATACCATCCAGGACCACCTACCAGAGGTGATATTACCTACAGTCTGCTGAGTCCGCCCACACCAATTATTAATCAAGAAAAATGCATCATAGGCTTGCCTACAAACCAGTCTTAGGGAAGCATTTTTTTTTTCAATTGAAATTCCCTCCTCTCCGATAACTCTAGCTTGTCCCAAGTTGACAACAACCTAGCTAACACAGGGTCTTAGCTCTGGAGAGTAACCAAGGGCAATGGCAATAGCCCATAATATCTGAGGGCTCAACGAGAACCCAGTGATCAACAACTCAAAAAGGGTAGCACACTCTTGGCGTTGGGCTTTTATTTTCTGACATGGGGTGTCTCGCGGGGGTAATAACACTAATGGCCTTTGGAGGAAGTCATATTGGAACCTGCCACTGTAGAATCTTCCTACAATATATACATGCATACAAAGGGGAAGGGGGACAAGTCCGTGTGGCATCAGATCTCATATGCTGCACTGAAAAAAAAGGTAGTTGTCAAAATTCACACTTGAAAATCTAAACAGATCTCTCTGGGTTTGGTCGAATAACTCACACCCTCAGGCCAACTTGGAGAAATTCATCATTGCACCCTAAGTTGAAACTTACTTTTCCTGTCAGAGGAAAAGATGGGGGGCCTGGGAGCTATAGATAGTCTGGTTTCTTTGTGGCCCATAAACAGAATGCATCCTGGGTAACAGATGGACCTACTCTTTGAAAAGCACCTGTGTTTTGGCCGGTAGGGAGCAGCCATTTTAGAAGAACACAAAGTCTCTTCATGAACGCTAGTGAGAAGACTTCACTTCCCTCCTGACTGCCCGCAAAGCAATCTTCCAGCATGAGATAAAGACCCAGCTCTGCGCGTCATTATTGCTTCTAAAGCAAGTGACCATCTAGCGGCAGGACCCACTCCCTAGCCTTTTCAGAAGTTCTGTTGAAACCTATCAGTAGCACGTGAAGGAATGTTCTTGACCCGCTCTTGTTTTCGATATTCCCAGTACGCAGTCTCAACCAAGAAAAACACAATTCAAAGGTTTGAAAAGCTCATAACCATGAAGGAAAACCAACTCAGGAAAGCCGAGAAAAAGCTCCAAGCTGACGCCATAGCCTTTGAAGAGTTCCTCCGTGAAAATGACCAGAGATCTGTAGACGCTCTTAAAATGTTAGTGTCTCTACCCTAGCTGCACCCTTCCCCCCGAGTCTTGGCTTGCTTGCTTCAGTTTCTCAGAAAGATAAATGAATAACTCATAGATCCGCGTTCCCTTTCAGGGCAGCACAAGAAACAATAAACAAACTCCAGATGACAACAGAGCTTAAGAAGGCAAGCTTGGAAGTCCAGGGAATAAAGAGGTAAGAGGGGCTGCGTCTTCCGCAGCCTGTTCCCACGTCCCATTGTGACCTCTTGTGCACGGTGAAGGCCAAGTGGGAATAACCCTTCCAACAGGTAACTCGATATGAACAGATTTTAAAGCGAATGGCATGGCTGTCAAGGATTGCGCCTGTCTAGATTTCAGAGCATAACCTCTCTCTAAAAGACTCTCTGACTTGTAGATGCAGAAGTAGAGGAGTTGGCTGAAAAGAAGCAAAACAATGTCAGGAGTAAAGAAGGGTTTTTTTTTTTCCTGTGCGCCCCCTGTTTGCTCGTTGTAAGAAACCCTTCATTTCACATCTCAGCTGGGATGCATTTGACGGTTAGCTTGCATTCATCGTCAGCCGTTTGTCCTCAAACTCCAAAGCAGAGTCTCATGTCACTAATTAATGTAAGCTCTGTACTGAGAAAAATCACAGGAGCAGGGTTGGGGTTCATATTATTATGTGGTCAGTCGTCCCTTCTCGAACCTTCTATGTTCAAGGAAACTCAGCTGAACGATTTTCAATATCTAATATCTAAAAGACTCCTGTGATCACTTGAGACACTAAATTCATAATCCAAAACATGTGTTTCAAACAGATTTCTGGCTGTAGTCGCCTCTTCTACTTAAAAGTCTAAAGTTGAAGGTGTTTCATAACAGGGGACCCTCCCCACTTCCCCAGGTATGAAATTCTTGGCTACGTCTCCAGCATTTTTTTTTCTTACTTTCAGTGTCTAAATTGTGCCTTGCTATATTGCTCAGGCTGGGCTTGAACTCACTCTGTTGTTCCAGCAAACCTTAAATATCTTGCTTCAGCTTCCCAATCAGCCAGGATTACAGGGATGCACTACCAGGACCATTTAGATGACCCTATCCATTAAACATACATATATATCCACATCCATTAATCTATCAATTAATATTAATGTACAATTATATAATGGCATGATATATTATATGTAACATGATAATTAATAAATAATATATAATTTCCATTACCCTGTCCATCTGGTTCCATGGGGAACCTGAGCAGTGGCCATGGTGCTCGTATAACTACTAGATTCTGCTTAGTGCCCACTTGGTTTACACCTCTGAACAGCCTTGCCTGTGTCTCACCCTTCTAGAAGAGTAAACGAGACAACAGAGCAGACAACATGGGTAGAACCAGCCAATGGGAGCCCCTTCCTCTTGTGGTAAGGTGCTGAGGATGGAAAGTCTTTGAAGAGGAGAAAGGAGTTTCTCTGGATACCTTTCCGTTGAAGACGTGCCATCCCAGCTGGCGTTTACCTCACGATCTCTGTGACACTCTGGGAGGTGGAATGAGGGGCTTCCTCCAGCTCCCAACTACTGAACATGAGGAATTGGGTGCTCACCCTTAAAGACCGTGTATGCTGGGCTGAAGGACGACTCTGGTGGATGAAGGGTTGAGGCTGGGCGTTTGAGACGATGCATCCGTGAGAGGGAACTCATGAAGTTCTAAATGAGGCCGGTGGCTTGGGCCTTGCTGTTCTGTTTTCAGCTCTGCGTGTGCCTCTGTTTGAAACAAGACTGGGGTAGAGCAGTACGAAGCTGGGGAAAGCAGAGAGCTCAAGCCCCTAGGTTATGTTGGTGAAAGCATAGGCATCTGTCAGACGTCTGCCACCGCTAGAGGGATACCAGTAATCTCTTTCTTTTTCCCTAAGAGGGAGATAAGAACATGTGTTGTTTAAAGATTTTTCAGTTTATTTTTATTTTATGTACTTTGGTGTTTTGCCTTGGGTGTCAGGTCCCCTGGAGCTGGAGTTCCAGACAGTTGTGAGCTGCCTTGTGGGGGTTGGAAATTGAACCCAGGTCCTCTGGAAGAGTAGTCAGTGCTCTTAACCACTGAGCCATCTCTCTAGCCCCTAAAGATTTAGTTTAAATTCTGTGTTATGGTAGTTTGAATATATTTGGCCCCCATAATCACACGGGGTGGCCACTATTTGGAGGTGTGTCACTGTGGGGGTGGGCTTTGAAGTGTCTTATGCTCGAGATACGACCCAGTGTGTTAGTTGATTTTCTGTTGCCCACAAGATGTAGCAGCAGTCTCAGCTCCGGCCCCACCTCTGCCTGCATCCCATCATGCTCCCTGCCAGGATGATAACGGACTGAACCTCTGAAACTGTAAACAAGCCCTGTTAATTAAATGTTTTCTTTGTAAGAGTTGCCATGGTCATGGCGTCTCTCCACAGCAATAAAAACCCAAAGTGAGATGTGTGTTTGCGGATGTGTGCACTAGTGCAAGTGTCTGCCAGGGTGGAGACACTGGATCTCCCTGGCAGTTTTGAGCCACCCAACATAGGCACGAGGAATTAAACTTGGGTCCTAACCCACAAGAGCAGTACGCATTCTTAATCTATCTATGCTCCGTCGCTCTAGTTCCAAGGACACTGTACTGACTGGCCTCGCGTTTCAACTTGACTCTAGCTGGAGTCATCAGAGGAAGGAGCCTCAGCTGAGAAAATGCCTCTGTAACACCCAGTTGTAAGGCGTGTTCTCAATTAGTGAGGGCCCAGCCCACGGTAGGTGGTCCTATCCCTGGGCCAGTGGTCCTGGATTCTATAAAAGAGCAGACTGAGCACGCCAGGGAAAACAAACCAGTAAGCAGCTCCTCTCCATGGCCTCTGCATGGGTTCCTGCCTCCAGGCTCCAGCCCTGCTTGGGTTCCTGTTCCTCCAGTGATGGGCTGTGATCTAGAAGTGTAAGTTGAATAAACCCTTTCCTTCCCAACTTGCTTTTTGGTCATGGTGTTTCACCACAGCAGTAGAAACCCTATCTAAGACTAATTTGTACCAGCCTAGTGTGGGGTATTGTTGTGACAGACCTGACCATGTTTTTCTTTGGGGGGGGGAGGATTGGGGAAGGACTTTGGAATTTAGGATTAGAAAAGTCATTGAGTGTTGAGACCTCGGTGGGGTGTTCTGTGGGAGCTGGGAAGAGAAGAACATTGAGAGCAATGTAGACAGTGGAGGCCTGGCCTGTGAAATTTCAGGGGGAAGTTGAAAGACTCCATGGGGGCCATTTGCTATCTTGAATTAAGATTCTGTGGTTCCTGTTAGCGGGGGCTGAGGAATGAGCCGTGATGAAGGAGACACCAGAAACTACTGAAGCGAAGCCTTCACGTTACTGGGACCATTGCAGCTGGTGAGCTGGAGCTAAGAAATTAGCAGTGATTGAGATCAGCACCGGTGAGGTGAAATCCTCTGGGAAGTGTTTGCTGAGAGCACAGAGGAGCTGTGGTCCAGAGGCGGTCACGATTGTACCTTGTGCTGGCAGCAGGACTTGATGATGTGTCCTTGTCACCCAGGTGGCACTGGTTTGGAAGGCGTGAATGGTTCATGGAGAGCAGCTGAGGCTGGGCACCATGAGAGGCCGGGAAAGGTCATCGTTGAAGGCCTAGGACTGAAGGGGTCATGCAAAAAAGTTGAGGCTTGGGGGCTGGAGAGATGGCTCAGTGGTTAAGAGCATTGCCTGCTCTTCCAAAGGTCTTGAGTTCAATTTCCAGCAACCACATGGTGGCTCACAACCATCTGTAATGAGGTCTGGTGCCCTCTTCTGGCCTGCAGGTACATACATAGACAGAATATTGTATACATAATAAATAAACAAATATTAAAAAAAAAAGTTGAGGCTTAGCACCATGAAGAGAGCCTTTGAGAGGCTGTTGGTGAATGTCCAGGCCGGCAGCAGCAGAAGGTCGCAGGATTTTGGAGGTGCCGGTACTGGGGGCGTGGTGGAATGACCACTGTGGTTAGCCGCTGTGGAGTGGAGCCAGCCAGATCCTAGGAGACAAGCTGTGCCTGCTGCAGAGGGCGGGGCCAGAGAAATGACCCAAGCCCGTTGGAGGAGTCTAGAAGATCGGGAGTAAATCCCAGATAACTGAAATCTGAGTTATTTGTACTGTTGGAGTTCGGTTTTGCTTGGTTCCAACGGTGACGTTGCCCTGGTTCTTCCCTCTTGAAGAAGGTACTTAATTTACTTTTGATTTGTAAAGGAGCCCACTGGTTAAAGACTCGAACTTTTAAAGAGATTGGATTTTGAAGTAGAATGGTACTGCCGGGAGCAGATGTGTCTCGCTGTCATGAAAAGCCTTATGCTATTAAAGCATCTTAAATCCCATATTCAAGAAAGTTTTCTACAGGATATTTTCAAGAGACTGAAATTTTAATGTGGTTAAATTGGTAAAGACTGTGGGGCTTTTAAAGCTTTTTATGATTTTAATAGGAGATCTTGGGGTTGAATAAGAAAGGAAGGGTTGTGGCTTTATAGTGGTATGTTTGTGTGTCAGATAGACAAGGGGTCAGTTGTTCTGGCTAGTTTTGTGTGTCAACTTGCCACAAGCTAGAGTCATCAGAGAGGAAGGAGCTACACTTGCAGAAACACCGCCCTAAGATCCAGCTGTAAGGCACTTTCTCAATTAGTGATCAGTGGGGGAGGCCCTGTCCTTGGTGGGTGGAGCCATCCCTGGAATGGCGGTCCTGGCTGAGCAAGCCAGGGGAAGCAAGCCAGCAAGCTGCATCCTCCTGGCCTCTGCATCAGCTCCTGCCTCCAGGATCCTGCCCTGTGTGAGTTCCTGTCCTGACTTCCTTCACTGATTGACTTCGATCGGGAAGTATAAGTCAAATAAACCCTTCCCTCCCCAGCTTGCTATTTGGTCATGGTGTCTCATCACAGCAATAGCAACCCTAGCTAAGACAGAGAGCTATTTTTTTAAAATATTTATTTATTTATTCATTTATTTATTATGTATACAATATTCTGTCTGTGTGTATGCCTGCAGGCCAGAAGAGGGCACCAGACTCCATTACAGATGGTTGTGAGCCACCATGTGGTTGCTGGGAATTGAACTCAGGACCTTTGGAAGAGCAGGCAATGCTCTTAACCTCTGAGCCATCTCTTCAGCCCCCAGAGAGCTATTTTTAAATGCTGTGCTGAGCTTGCAAGAACGCATGTCGGGTATGCTACACGCTGCTTCTGCGCATCAGGACTTTGTGAAACGGTAGTTCCTTTTCTTCCCCTCACACACCCATTGTCTTTTTCATCTTCCAATTCCCCCATATACCCAAGGTCACTAAAATATGATGTTTCTGAAGGAGATAAACCAGCGGAGCTAGCCTGCCACCCGTCCACTCTGAATGTGCGTGTCACTGGGCTGTTCCAGGCAAAGACCGGCCTCTGGGTTTCTTTCTGCTCAGATCTTTCAGAAGTGCAGCGTCTGCGGCCGTGTTTACAAGCTGTGCTGAATGGGCTGTTGTGTCAGCAAATGATGACGAGAGAAACGCTTCCGCAGCTGTGTAACTGCATCCTTGTTTCTTTTGAAGTGAAATAGCGAAAACCGAATTCCTCCTCAAGGAGTACATGAAGTATGGATTCTTCCTGCTGAAGCTGTCCCCGAAACATTGGCAAGCACAGCAATTGCAGAAGAGAGCTCAGGCATCGAAGAGTAACCCCATTCTCCCAAGAATCTTGGAAAGTAAGTCACGGATATTAATTCGCGCTAAATGAAAACTCCTGATTCTAGAGTGTTCTGCCTGAAGTTTGTTGTTTATTTCACAGTCAGAATTTAAAAGTCAAAACTTGGACAAAGATTCCTCCTATTTTTTTTTAAAATTTTTTTAAAGATTATTTATTATGTGTACAGTATTCTCAGTATTCTGTCTGCGTGTATGCCTGCAGGCCAGAAGAGGGCACCAGACCTCATTACAGATGGTTGTGAGCCACCATGTGGTTGCTGGGAATTGAACTCAGGACCTTTGGAAGAGCAGGCAGGGCTCTTAACCACTGAGCCATCTCTCCAGCCCCTCCTCCTATTTTTTTAAGGATTGTTTATTATTTTTATGTGGTGTTTGCTTGCATGTATGTCTGTGTGAAGGTGTCATATCCCCTGGAACTGGAGTTACAGCTGTGAGCTGCCATGTGGGTGCTGGGAATTGAATCCGGTCCTCTGGAAGAGAAGCCGGTGCTCTCAACCACTGAGCCATCTCTTCAGACCCCTCTTACTTTTGTTATCATGCATTATTAATCTGGAAACTCAAGTCATCTTTGGATATAAAGCAACAAAAATTAACACATGAACACATAGAAAACACATTACTTATGGGTGATATGGTATCTCAAAAACTATTTGGTATTATTATGGGCCTTTATAGTAGGATCAATGGATACAAAGTCAATTATACCTCATTAACCTAATATACTAACTGGAATAAACTAAATTTATTCACTGGAAGTAGTACAAATACTTTGAAGCCAGCAAACAACTTCAATGTGTGTGACCTGGAGATCTGACAAACAGAAAATTAAGTTGTGTTTTCAGATAGGAAAACCGATATTCTAAGTTGCCAGTTTTCTTGAAATAAATGTGTGTATTTGGTGGGAGTATAATACTGCTGCCAAGGGGGGGGCTGGAGAGATGGCTCAGAGGTTAAGAGCATTGCCTGCTCTTCCAAAGGTCCTGAGTTCAATTCCCACCAACCACATGGTGGCTCACAACCATCTGTAATGGGGTCTGGTGCCCTCTTCTGGCCTGCAGGCATACACACAGAAAGAATATTGTATACATAATAAATAAATAAATACTAAAAAAATACTGCTGCCAAGGGATTTTCAGGGAGTTGAGCAGCAGAGTGGAGAGGACTTTGTACCATGAGGCTCATATAGAAAAATAAACGCTTTTTATTTGAGAAGGTAATGAGGGTGGGTGGGTCACTAATGCTACTTTAAATGTTGTGTATTTAAATATATTGTATTTTTATATGCTAATATGCGTCAATTATTAGACTAGTGCTGGGCTGGCATTAGGGTGTCAGTTAAGCAGTAGAGATAGAGCCCATTGCATAAACATTTCATACCTGATCCAAGTAGAGCCACATCACAACAGAAGACTTACTTCCAGCAACGCTGGAGTAGCTAGGACCAGCTTCACTTCCTCTGAAATAACGGATAAGCCTTGGTTGCTAAGCACACAGCCGAGTTATCCCTAGGAGAGGGGAAAGAAACGAGCGCCAAGATTCTCAGTTGCTGCCTGAAGCATTTTCAAAATCCCATCCAAGGACAGGAAGTCTCGAAAGAGCCCAGATGCCCTGAGTATTTCCACCACAGAAATTGTCAAACTGAAAATCGGTTGATTTGTCTTGCAGGGAGCTGGTTGTTAGGGACATCCGTGATGGCACTTGGTCAGAGCTCATTAAATGACGTGGAGCAAGAGAAAAATTAAAATGAATGCGGTGATATGATTTCATATGGCACTTTAAGATTTAGTGGTCCTAGACTTCTCTTCTAAATGGAAGACACTCAGAACCCAGTAGGTCTCTCAAATGACAAGGATCGATAGCTTCCGTGGGCTTTCCGGAGCTATGATGGGTTGATGTTGGAGATGGAGAATTCCCTAAGCCCCAAATGGTCTATTCTTGTCTCTTCTCCCTGTGTCAGAGGGCGGTCCTCGCCCTCTGCTGTGTAAGATTGCAGAAGACGGGATCCCGGTCTGGGATCATTGGAAGCTTTGATGGTAACTCTGCCGTGACACGGAGACAAAGCTCTCACTCTCGGGAAGGTACCCCACCACTTCTATCTCCCACAGATACTTTTTCTCCTTTCCTTTTCCGTTTCTAGAATTCTCGTTAAGTTCAAGTAAAAGAGACAGTGCCGAGTCGGACAGGTTGTCCCTTTCCGATGAGCATGGTACAAGAAGAACGAACCAAGGTAAGAGCTAAGGCCGGTGACAGCGCTGACCAGAACCTCCAAAGTGAAGCTGTACTTAGAAGGGGACTCTGCTGGAAAGTGGGGGTGGGGGAGTGATGCCCATATCACCCCTGACCCCAGGGAGCCAGCCATTTTGTTCTTTGTGATGTTATAGCAAAAACATGTCCAAATAGACAAGAATCTCATCCTAAATGTTCCCTTAGATAAGACCCGCCCCCAAGCACGAGCGTATGCGTTAGGATCCAAAAGCTGGTCAACTATGCCAGGGCAGGGCGAAGCCGGAGGAAACTCTAGTGTAGGTCCACAGTGGTCCTGACATGCAAATCAGTCGTCCGACCTGGGTACAGGGGTGAAAGACTAATCGAACCATCTAGTAGCTGGTTCCTTCTGAAGCTTCTTTCAGGATAGAGGAGAGGAGAGGGAGAATTAATGGTCGCTAGTGGAAATAGGAAATGCATTCAGTCTCCTGGACTAAGAAATCCTCAACAAGAGGCAGACTCGGCCGAGCTGACCCGGTCCTCGCCATCCTGTGCCATGAGTCAGGATTTAAGGGTGACGGCAGCCACGACACCAGGTGGAAGGGGTATCCCCTTGCCGAGCTCGCTCTTAGAACTCCAGACAGAAAACAGCTTCCACGTGGGCAAGCATTGAGTAGTGCTAGAGTCCTGGTGTGCAAGATGAGTGTGGTGTGTCAAAGAAATGTGTGCTTCTAATGTGTTGGGAGCTGGAGGCAGAGCAGGCTTCTGGCTTGTTCCTAAACAGAACAACGTGAAAACATTCAAAATGAAAAATGCATTTGACCTGTGATCATTTTTAGTAGGTTCCTGATACCAAAACAATTATCCTGGGTGTGGTTTCTTCGGTTTAATAAAGGGTTAATTTTACTTAAGGCAGTTACGTAATGTGATTTTTTTTTTTAACCCTTTATAAAAGCGGGAGATACAATTGTGAATGGCATGGAAGTATTTCCTTTCTCCAGAGGAAAAGTGAATTTCTTATCAGAATTATCTGGCTGGCCCTGTAATTTAAATTAAAATAAAAAAATTAAAAAATATTTTAAAAAATGGGGGAAAGAAACACCAAGTAGCCACTGAAGGAGAAAGATGTCAGAACATTACCAGTGGGCCACAGCCTTGTGGTGATACATAGATTAATAGAAATAGGTTCATTCAAGATATAAGTGCTAGCTAGCAGTACACATGAGACACTGAGCAAACAGTGCTATAATTAATATAGTTTCTGTGTGATTATTTGGGTCTGGGCAGCAAGAAATGAAAGTGTGGTCTCCATTTACATCCCTCCTCCACCCCAATCCTTTGGTTCAAGTCTGCCTTCTGTAATGACAGTCCCTTACCCTAGCCTGAGACAGGAGGGCAAGTGTGACCAACTGAGGATGCTCTACCATGGCCAAGCCTGAGCACTCTGCGTCACCACAGCATACCAGGGGTCTGGACTCAGTGTTTCGACATTGTTTGACTTGAAAATCAACACTTAAAAAGCAAAAACCATCAGATGTCACGAAAATATCTGAATCTCCATGTTCCCTTGAAAACCGCCAGACCTGACGTCCTGGCTTTAAAGATGTTTCCTGTGGGTCAGTTTTCCCTGCGGGATGGTCCTTCTTTCCGCCCAGGATGGTCTTCCCTGTGGGACGGTCCTCCCTATTAAGTGATTCTAGTTCCCATCAGGCCCCACCTTCCCTCCTGCATCTGGCCCGCTGTGGTCATCTGAGTTTGTGATCCCCAATCCAGGCTGACTCTTGGGACCCCTTTCCCCACTTGATCTTGTCACTAAGCAGCAGGTGTATTTTGGGGTTAGGGCAAAAGCAGCAAGATTTGTCTGCCCAGAAATAACCATGTTGTATGAGCCTGGATGCTATGTGTTCTGCCAGAGAGTTAAAAGTGGGAATTTTTTTTAAAGGTATGAGCCATTTGGAGCCTACACACAAACTACTACTTTGCCCATTTGGGGATCTGTGGTAGTGTGTAGGGATGGGGGAAAAGAGGGCTGAGTCTCAATGGTACATTCTGAAAGGTTGAATGTAGGTGTTACTCAGTTTGAATAGCTCTTCCTAAAATTGATTTCAATAATACATGCTCAGGCATTATCCTAAAAGCGAAAACATTGTATGATGAGGCACTTCATCTTTCCCCCGCTTCCCTCCCCTCTTCTTCATTCACTTCATATTTATTGAAGGCAGACAATGAATTTCAGGTGCTGTGGGATAATGCCCTTGTACACTGTAAAGATTTGTCATTCGTATTGGTTTAATGCATGGTGATTGGCCAGTAGCTAGGCAGGAAGCACAAGCAGGGCAACCAGACTAGGAGAATTCTGGGAAGAGGAAAGGAAGCCAGACACAGAAGGAAGCAAGATGAGAATGCCTTACTGAGAAAAGGTACCAAGCCACATGGCTAAATATAGACGTGAATTATGGGTTAATTTAAGTTGTAAGAGCTAGTTGGTAATAAGCGTGAGCTAATAGGTAAAACAATTTATAATTAATGTAAGCCTCTGTGTGTTTCTTTGGGACTGAACAGCTGTGGGGCCGGGTGGGATAGGAACTTCTGTCTATATTCAGCACTTTTAAAGACTTGGGGGACAGCACCATACGATACAAGGAAGACAGTGACACAGTAGGAATAGGGAGTGAGGCCTCAGTGGAAAAGGCCCAGTGTGTAACCCCCACCAGGTCACAGTAGGAGCCTGCCAGGGAGTAGGTGGCAAGGATGAGGCCCACTGTGGACTCAAAGCAGAATAAAAAGAATAACGGTGAGCCATAAAGATGTTGGTGGCTCCTGGGCAGGTGGATGAAGATTCTCTGGGCCAACACTGGTCCGGGTGTTAGTTTGGGGGTGAGAGACTTGATCTGTATGTAGATGTGGAACAGTTAAGTGCAAGAAGCCCACCACCAGGAGGTTGGTCTCTTCAGGCTAAGAAGGGAGATGGGCATCATTTTGTTTTCCTTAGTTCTTTTAAACCCCGTGTAAATCTCAGAACTAGAGATTGCTGATAGAGGAAAAACAGAACCATGACGTGCACCTTATTTTCGTCCCTCATTTGGGACTTTTCGGTCGTCAAGCCCCACTTGGCCACTGTGTTTTCAGCTGGACACTTATGCCTGGAGTCGCATCTCAGTCCAATGAAAGAGCTGTTTTCTCTATGGTCACCATTGTGATAATAACGTTTTTTAAAAAGAACGGGCATGTATGTAGTACTTCACACCAAGTGACCAGGGCTCATCTCTAATAGTGTTCTCCTTCTCTCCCTCTCCTTTCACCCATGGCACGGACCTCACCTGGACGTTTTGAACAGGACGGGAACAGAGGAAATCTACTTTTGGCACAGACTCGAAGAAATCCTCCTTACGGTACAAACTTACTAAACTCTGATGGAAACCATGAGAGGCTTTTTAGAAAATAACTCTTTTTAACCTATGCTCAACACAGAGACCTCATCTCCAGGCCTGCAGGCACACACAGTGGAGTCAGTGGTGGCCAAGACTGCACTCCCGTGGTGCCCCAAAATTCTGCTCTTTTGAGTAGGACCACAGCCACAGAAGCCACCAGATCCCAGACCCTTGGGACTCCCCCTCGAGCTGTTCTGCTAGCTGCTGCAGCAGGACAATAAAGCGGTTTTATTTCCTCTTTTGTTTCTTCCCTAACGTGATTGTTAATTCATTTCATACATTCTCAACCCTAGCTACCCAAGAGGTTTTGAGGTAATAAATGACTATCTGGGTCAGACATGCTAGCCTTGAAGAAGGGCTCTGAGCCAAGACTGCCCTGTCCATGACACTCCCTGAGGGCCACTGGGACATTTGACTCTGAATTCCAGGGATCCTGGGGTCCCCCCACTGCTGTGACATTTAGTTGGCCCTTGCTATTTTTTTATTATTATTTTGTTTGGTTTGGTTTTTCGAGACAGGGTTTCTCTGTGGAGCCTGTCCTGGAACTAGCTCTTGTAGATCAGGCTGGCCTCAAGCTCACAGACGTCCACCTGCCTCTGACTCCCGAGTATTGGGATTAAAGGCGTGTGCCACCACCGCCTGGCTTAAAATTTTATTTTTGAGATCATTGTAGATTTAGATGCAGTCCCTGGCAGGTCCCCTTTGACTCTTGACCTAGTTTCTGGCAACAGGAATCCTGTGCCAAACCGAAGTGCGAAGCCACAGCCAGGATATCAACCATGACCCTACCAAGTACAAAATGTTGCCCCTGGATTTTACATGTCTTTTTTATTGCCATGCCCACTTCTCCTCCCTCACCCCCACAGTCACTAATCTGTTCATTGCTAATTGTGTCATTTGATGTAAGTAGGATCATGCCATGTGTAAGCCTTGGGTTTTAATACTAGTTCCCAGGAGATCCAGCCATGTTAGACCACGAGGGTTTGGTTCTCTTGTTGTTGAGCTGTGCTCTGTAGTCTGAATGCTGTGTACTTGAACTATTCACCTACTGAAGAATATCCACCTTGTTTCTAGTGTGGGGCTGTCATGAATAAAGCCACTATAAGTTTTATATGTTCAACTTTAAAAGAAGTATTCTACCGGACTAGAGAGATGGCTCAGTGGTTAAGAGAACTGTCTGTTCTTCCAGAGGTCCTGAGTTCAAATCCCAGCAACCCCATGGTGGCTCACAACCATCTGTAATGAGATCTGACGCCCTCTTCTGGTCCGCAGGCATACATGCAGGCAGAACACGGTATACATAATAAATAAACCTTTAAGAAATAGTTACATATACGGGTGTTTGGCTTGCAAGCACGTTTTCCCCATGTGCTTGCAGGCTCCACAAGGCCAGAAGGTGGCACTGGATCCCCTTGGGACTAGAATTGGAGGCAGTTGTGAGCCACCATGTGCAAAAGCACAAGATCTCCTGACTGCTGAGCCGTCTCTTTAGCTCCTTATACAGCGTTCTGCGTGAAGATAGTTCTTATGTCTCCGGATGATTGTCTAGAAGGCAAGAGTGCGCTAGGCGGTACAAGTCAGTTTGTTTCCAATGTCTGTACCATTTTACCCTCCCACCAACCGTGCGTATGACACCTAGTTTCTCAACAGCTTCAGTCTTTGATCCAGTGTGTGTGTGTGTGTATGTGTGTCTGTCTGTCTGTCTTCAGTGCCCGTGGAGGTCAGAAGAGGGCACTGGATCCCTTGGAGCTGGAGTTATAGGCAGTTTTGAGCTGCCTAACGTGGGTGCTAGGAACGGAGCTCAGGTTCTCAGAAAGAGCAGCAAGTGTTCCTAACTGCTGAGCCGTCTCTCCAGTCCTATCGGCTGTTTCTCATTTTCTCTATTCTGACAGGTAGGTACGTCACTCTCCTCCCTGCCCTCATTTATTTGTCATCCCCCCCCCCGCCCCCACATGACAGCCTCCAGCACCACCTCCCTCCCTCCCTCCCTCCTTTTTCCTGGTGTACTAAAGTTCTAATTGTTTTCAGTTTATCTTTTATAGAGGATTTTTTTTTTCCAGAGTCAATTTCCAAGACATGTCATTAGTTTTTACCTACCCCCTCCCCGGTGTGTGTGTGTGTGTGTGTGTGTATTCACAACACACATGGGTTGGTCAGAGGACAACTTTCATGAGTCAGATCTTTCCTTCCATGTGGGTTCTGAGGATCAAATCAGATCATCAGGCTTGGTGGCAAAAGCCTCTACCCTCTGAGCCATCTCGTAGGCCCAACGTCAATATTCTGTTATATTGTATCTTACCATCCGCCTTCCTGATACTTCCTCATATGAGTAGAAACTACTACCAAAAGCAAATCTTCTCTGTAAGAGACAGGTAGCTGTCTCACTGAAAAGCATTCTGAAGATGGCGGTCAATCCTGAGCCAGCGCTAGAGCTCACATTTTGAAGTCATGTCCACTCTGGTAGTGACAAAAAAGACACAGCAAGGTTAGGGAGTCACATGTATCCTTAGAGAAAGCAAGCTACATTTTTTGATGCCGCTAAATAATCTGCTTTGTGGTGCTTGGGGCTTCCGTGTGGTCTCCTGCGTGTGTGTCTCTGTCTGGGACTGAATATGATTTTCTTTGGCACAGTTGTGGAATCGTGGGGTGAGCGGTCCCCCTAAAACGATGAACCGCCTAATGAAAAGAATCTGTAAATAGGAGCTGGCAAGGTTTCTCAGTGGTTGTAGCACTGGCTGTCCTTGCGGAAGACCTGGGTTCGATTCCCAGCATCCAGGTGTTGGCTCATAACTCCCTGTAACTCCCATCTCGGGGGCATCTGATCCCCTCTTCTGGCTTCTGTGGACACCAGGTTTGCATGTGGTAGGTACATGGACACACATGCAAACAAAACGCTCATACACATAAAATTAAATTTAAAAAAGAACTCTGTGGTAGTCAGGGTTCAAAGTCAATTTAGGAACAAAGGCAAACGTACCAATGGGAAGTGACTCAAATAATTTTTTTCTTTCTTTTTTTTTTTTTTTCACAGTCGGGCTGAAAGCATTAGCTCGGAGGACAGTCTGGAGTTCTTTTTAGAGGATGAGCCACTGGAGTATGATCTGGTAACCAGTTATGTCTCTTGGTTCCGGCTGTCAATGCACATCCGTTTCTTCTGAAATGTCCTATTCCAAACATGTCACACATTTTCCAGAAGGAAATATGGCTGGATTCTGCTCTCACATCCTGTCTATTATCTATCTTTGTCATCACGCCATTTATGAAAAATAGACAAATAAGAAGATACTGTGGCAGCCCTTTCGAGGGTGAGGCAGGAGAGCCACAGATGTCAGTCCAAGACGCCAGATGTGACAGCAGGCTTGCAATCCCAGCACTTGGGAGGCAGAGGCGTGAGGCTGGGCAGTCCTAGGTCATCCTCCAGATATATAGCAAGTGAGAGGCCAGGCTACAAGAGACGCCTAACTCAATGAAACAAAACCAAAGCAGCAACAGAATTGAAGGGCAGCTTGGGCTACACACATAATACGTTCCAGGCCGGCCTGAGGTACACAGTGAGCCCACCTCAAAAACCAAACATGAAAGAAATAAGTTGGAGCAGATCTATTATCAAACCCGTTCTATAAAAACGCCAACTCTTAGACTGTTTATCATTGTGTGTGTTGTGTGTGCGTATTTGTTTGCCTGTGTGTAAACATGTGTGTGCCTGCGCATGTGGAGGCCAGAGGTGACACTGGATGCATTCCTTAGTGGCATTTCACTTTATTTACTGAAACAAGATTCCTGACTGAATCTGGTGCTCACTGATTTTGGCTACCTAGCCAACTTGTCCTGGGAAATCCCCCGGCTCTGCCTCTTAACTGCTGGGATCACCAGGAGAGAGGGTTGGGGGGCGGGGCTGCCACACTTACATACTTACACACTTATACGTGTCCTTTGCACTCTGGTTCTCCCCCTTGCACACCCAGTGCTTCATCTGCTGAGCTACTTCACCAACCCAGAATTTCTCTTCATTTTATTGGGTAAGAAGAACCCTAAATAATCCTCCTGCAAGATGCCTCATTGTTGCTGCAAAACTGACTGTGAGCTTACCTCAATCTAAATGCAACCACAAAGGCTTGAAAGTAATTTTTAAAAGAGATAAAAGAGGCTGGAGAACTGGCTCAGAGGTTAAGTGGACTGGCTTCTCGCCTAGAGGTCCTGAGTTCAATTCCTAGGACCCACATAGTGGCTCACAGCCATCTATAGTGAGAGCTGATGCCCTTTTCTGTCATGCAGGCATAAGATGCAGGCATGCCATGCTTCCTGAGGAAGCAGGATGTAGGAAGTAGTGCTTCCTCGCAAGCATGAGGACCTGATTTCCAGCCCCAGAACCCATTATGAAAACAAAACAAACAAAAAAATCCAGGCACAGTGCTGAGTGCTTAGAGCCCTTTCTAACACTTGGGAAATAGACACAGTCAGAACTCTGGGGCTTGCTGGCCAGCCAACCTATCCTGATTGGTGAGTTTCAGGACTGCAAAAAGATTTTTGTCTCGGATGGATGGATGGATGGATGGATGGATGGATGGATGGATGGATGGA